TGTGTGTTAAACACTGTTGGTGTTGTTGGTTTCTGCAATAGTTATTTATTATACTGTTTACAATTGGTTAACTTGTTTCGACTGGTTGTGCAAAAAGAAATCGCCGACAGGAATGATCGTGATATTATTAATGTTCCTGAGGCGATGACCCATGTGATGGGGCAAGAAAATGGAGTGTTGCAAGCTAATCAAAATCAGAATGGTGGAGCTGATGACTTTCATGAGCTGGGAAAGTTCCAAAAGAACAATCTGCCTACTTTCAAGAGAAGGTACGACCCAAAGGTTCTCAGGATTTACTTTAGAAGATTGAGAAGATTTTCAGAGTTATGATGTGCACTGATGTGCATAAGGTGTTCTTTGGAACTCATATGCTATATGAGGAAGTTAAGTATTGATGGGAGAATAACCTTCAGACTATATTTAGAACTCATACGATTATTATGAGTATTCAGTGATATTATTCGGTGTGTCTAATGCGCTAGGAGTATTCATGGAGTACATGAATAGTATTTTCAACCTTACTTGGATCAGTTTGTTGTGGTGTTCATAGATGGTATTTTGGTGTAATCCAAGTAGAGGAAGCACATGCAGGACATCTGAGAGTTATGTTGAACACCTTGCAAGTGAAGAAGTTGTATGCTAAGTTGTCCAAGTATGAATTATGGTTAAGAAAAATGAGTTTCCTTGGTCATGTGATCTCCAGTGGTGGAATAGTAGTTGATTCGTCGAAGGTGGACAAAATGTTATAGTGGGAGACTCCTTAGTCGCTTACGGAGATCACAATTTTTTTGGGTTTGGCTTATTACTATAGAAGGTTTATAAAAGGCTTTTAGAAGTTGACATTGCCTTTTACTCAGTTGAACCGGAAATACCAAGCTTATGTATGAGATGTTTAATGTGAAGAAAGATTCAAAGAGCTTAAGAAGAGGTTGACATCAGCGCTAGTTTTGATATTACCATATGGGAGTGAATTTTTTATTGTGTATTGTGATGAATCTAAGATGAGTTTAAGTGGTGTTCTTATGCAGAAGAGTCAAGTTGTAGTGTATGTGACAACTTAAGACTCATAAGAGGAATTATATCTAATTCCTATCCATGATTTGGAGTTGGCAATAATGGTATTTGTGCTTAAATTTTAAAGGTTGTATGGTTTGAGGTTTGAAGTTTTCAGCGATCATAAAAGTCTGAAGTATTTGTTTGATCAGAATGAGTTGAATATGAGGCATAGGAGGTGACTATAATTTTTGAAGGACTACGATTTTGAGTTGAGTTACCATTCTGGTAAAGCTAATGTGGCAACTGTAACACCCTTTTCTACCCCACAAATATAGTGACAAATCAATCATATTTATCAGAGTAAAATATTGAACGCAATAAAATCATCTCAAAAGGGCGCACATTTCTCAATAATTCAAATATAGTCAATGCTCCGTAAACAACGGGTTTCCCAAAATTACTCAAAATATTACTCAAAAGGCAGCGGAACTCAAAAGGCAAAAATCTAAAGTTTTTCTTGTGCAGAAACTTAATCAAAATAATAATAATCAATAAAACATGGTTCAACTCAAAAGACCCTAACCCGATGTTACATTATCATAGCAAGACCCTCTAAGTCAACCACATTGGCCAACGATCCAAAAACTTCAAAAAGTCCTCGACGGCTAAACCTGGTCATCTGCACGTTACCCACGTGGAGGCAACATTCAAATAAGCATGGTGAGTAAAATGATTCATAATAATCAATATAGTAATCAATATATAAAATAACGTCATTTTCATATTCAACATCATCATAATCATCAAAGAACATCAAAGGCCACAACATTATAAATTACATCAAATTGTCACATAAATGCAAATGCAACAAGACTCATGCATGTGGTACCAATCAACAAAATTCGATGGATATTGGGCCATCAACCCTCCATAAATCCACAATAGTAGGATCGATTCTACACGAGAACCGGAGCACAACAAAATACCTCACATCCGCACAATGGGACTGAAGCCACAATAATCAAGGTCCTAGACCGAAGTCTGGAATGCATATGAATGCATGATGCACACGTCAATATCATCCTCATAATAAACTCATTAAGTGCATCATCATTCATCAAAATCGTCATAATAATCGTGTCATCATATAATCATTAAAAAATCATGGAATCAACATTATAAATCATCACAATTACTCATAGGAATCATCATACAATCATGTATTAATCTCATAAAATTCACAATTATACTCACGGTAATTCATCAGGAAAATCAGCATTAAAACATCAAGACATCACTGCACAAGATCAGGATTCGCGAAACTCTGCTACGTTCACTAGCAAGTTCGCCGTGCGAGTCTGGGGCGAATGTTCGCCGTGCGAACTCGCGATTACAGCAAATCGCTGTTATGCACCAACACTAAAACCAACCCAAAAACCTCTACGATTTCCTTCCCCAATGCTCTAAAAACATCCCTAAATTATTCCTAAGGTATTACGGCGATAAAGGCACAAAATCTACGACTTATTAGGCCAATCCCGTATCACATTTACGCCTCAAATTCCCATAAAATTCTTACAAATACCCCACATTCATTAAAGTTATCATAATCAATTATCCTATATGGTTAAAACCTCAACAACAGATTTTGGCCACGAAGGCCTAATTTCCCTTATCTCAAATTAGCCTCAAACCTATCAGACCATCAGTTCAAATCCCTCAAACTCATTAAACTCACCATTTCGGCAACAACAATTCAATACTCAAAATCCCTAAACCCTTAAATCGGCTTTAAATACATTGAATCACATATTGAAAATAATGAAGGCAATACTCCCTATACATTAATTGCCGACTCTAAGTCTTTCTCCTTGATTCTTGGATTCCTCGCGAAGCTTTTGCCTCAATCCTCTTCCTCAGAGCTTTGACTTTTATTTCTTCCCTTTTCACGGTCTAACAAGAATGAATCCTAATTCCCACAAAATTTCTTTTTGTTAAACCTAACTTTGAACTTTAAAATTGGGCTTTCCAACTTCACCCTCACTAACTCCTCCTCAAATGTTCACTTTGCCCTTAATTCACTTATATTTATTTAAATTAATAATAATACCAATATATTCATATTATATGCTATTATTTAAATAAATAACTCAAAGTCCATAATTTTCAATATTCACACCAACCACCGAAAATCACCAAAAATGCGAATATTCATATTTAAATAAATTAAATAAATATTTCAAGAATTTGGGGTGTTACAACAACATATGCGTTGAGTAGGAAGTCTATGCATATGTCGACGCTTATGGTTAGAGAAATGGATTTGATTGAGCAATTCAGAGATCTTAGCTTGGTGTGTGAGATGACGTCAAAAAGTGTGAGGCTGGGTATGTTGAAGTTAACTAGTAATGCGCTAGAGGAAATCAAAGAAGGTCAGAAATTGTATTTGAAATTGATTTATCGATTGATACTAATCAATCAAGGTAAAGAAGTGGATTTCATAGTAAATGAGAATGAGATTATAAAGTTTCGGGACATAGTTTACATGCTGAATTTGTTAAAGTTTAAAAAGAGAATTCTAAAAGAAAATCACATAGTAGTTTGAACATTTCACAAGTACAAATATATATATATATATATATATATATATATATATATATATATATATATATATATATATATATATATATATATATATATATATATATATATATATTAAAATTGTTAAAAAGAAACATTTATTTAATTTATTTATCAGCTAAAATTAAAGAAGTAAAGAGATATGCATAAATGTAACTGATCCACATGCTTTATAAAAAAAGAAACTAATGATCATCAATCATGGCTTTAAGCTGTAAGCCGTAATGCATCAGGCGGTCAAAAATAAAATAACAGAACTAAGATTCTTTTTTTTTTCATAATCCAATCAAATTTCGGATTGTTGAACCTTTTCGGTGGTAATAATCATTATATAAACATGATCTAAAAAATCAAGTATTAAATATATATTATCATCATTCACCGTACAAAATGCTTTTATTAGGAAAATATTAGTAAGTGTTTTTAGATAATTTGTTAAAAAAATTAAATACCTAAATATTCCGTTGAAAAATATTATATTTAGTTTTTAAAGATATTTAGTTTTGTACATTAAGCTTAATATTTTTAATATAATTGTTAAAAAATTTAACATGTCTTTTTTAAATGATAAAAACAAAAACTAAGAAATGATTAAAGTAACCGAAGCTGCCATTTGGCACGACGCTTAGCCGTTTGCGCGTATAAACAACAAAAATCACATTGCTTAATCATCTCATCGTGCTGTCAAGTTCCCCGATCACACCAACGGTTACTTTAACTTTTTCTTTTTCTTTTTTCTTTTTCCTTTTTACATTTTCTTCTTTCTCTCTTCATTACAGAAAGTTACATTGTTTCAGCTTCATTAATTTCTCACTTCAATAGTTAGTTACTAGAAGTAAACTAATAACTACCCAGAAAACGTTGCTGAAAACGATAGAAGAAAACGTTACTATTTTCTAACGACGTTGACGTGTAACTGAAAACACCACAAATTGTCGGCGAATAATTGAATTTAACCCTATAATCGTATAATTGAGGTGCTATTTTAATTTCTTTTGGTTATTTTATTTCTATAAATTTCTTAGAATTTCTTAGAATTTGATTTCTGAAATATGTGTTTACATTTTTATCAGATCGTGGTTTGAGATACTTGAATTTGCTTCCAAGTAGAGTTTGTTCGTTTGGATTTAAGGTAAGTTAATTTTGTAATTAATTTTTGATTTTAAGCTCAGTGAATTATGTATAGGTTTTAATTTTAGTTTTGAATTTGTATGCATGATCAGTTGATGACCAATTTTTTTTTGGATGAATTGTTGTGAATTTTTAAGTTTTGATTGATGGAATGTATGAATTGTGGTTGGTTGGAGGTAGGTTTGTTTGTGAGGAGGTTGTTGAGGGAAGGAGGTCTGTGATTGAGTAGCAAAATGGGGGTTATGTCGAGGCGGGTTGTGCCTGCCTGTGGTAACCTCTGTTGCGTTTGTCCTGCTCTCCGTGCTAGCTCGAGACAACCGGTGAAGCGATACAAGAAATTGTTGGCTGATATTTTCCCCCGCAATCAGGTGACATTTTCAGATTGTTTACGCTGTTTTATTTTCGATATCAGCTTCCTTTGTTGGTTGTTGTTACTTGTTTGAGTTGCTAGTTTACTTTACAGTATGGTTTGTATAGCATTTGGAAACATTTAGTTATCTATGTTTGAATATAATGCGTTGGACTCTTTCTCTCTTTCTCACTCCCATTCTCCTCCCACTGTCTATCGTATGATGGTTGTTGTTTTTGGCAGGAGGCTGAACCCAATGATAGAAAAATTGGGAAGCTATGTGACTATGCATCTAAAAATCCACTGAGAATTCCTAAGGTAAAACGCTTTTAACGGTGGAAGTCTTTAGTTTTCTTTGGCACTTCTGTTCTCGTTCCGATGTGCCATTTAATCAAGATAAACTATGATTTGGTGGTGAAAATTGAAGTCTCTTAAGAAACTTTTGTATCTGACTAATATGATAATACGGTAGAAGTATTTCTTGGATCGTTATCTAAGTCGAAAGTGACATTTGTTTGGGGATAAAATTCAGATTACCGATAACTTGGAGCAAATGTGTTACAAGGATTTGCGTAATGAAGTCTTTGGTTCAGTGAAAGTTGTCTTGTGCATATACAGGAAACTCCTATCGTCATGTAAGGAGCAGATGTAAGTTTATTGACATATACATAGATATTCACCAATTCTTACATAAACACTTTTATTGAGTGGATTTAGTTGGCCATAAGAAAGTTGAACACTTTAAATTAAAGTAAGCTTTGCATATACATGAAATATTTCCCGTTATTGTTTCAATAAACACTATACGCCCTCTTGATTCTAATCCAATAGAAAACTTTTTTTTTTAACTTCTACATCCATCTCGATTCTCAAGTAATTTAATTCATCTAATGCTTGTATATGTTGATTTCCCTAGATGTTATTATTTATTTATGGAGATTAATTGTTATGCACTGTTAGTGTAAAAAGTTTTACACTGTCAATGCGTCACAACCATCCGTTGGTATTACTTTTCAAGTGGTTAAAATAAAAGTCAAACCTTTCAAATAAATCAGCGGTTGTGATTAACTGAAAGTGTAAAAAATCTTTACACTGCCAGTGCATATCAATTAAATTCTTATTTATGATCATATGCGCATTGATCTGCATATAAGTTTCATTATACATTTTGAGGAGTATAAACAAATATAAAATATGATGTCAGGAGAAACCTTTATTTTCATATGATATTGATACTTTTATATTTTGATGCAATATAAACAGTACCATAAAGTTGCTGTACTTCTGTTTTCTATTGCTGCATTGCCACTTTTTTCTTCTGTTGAATGTGTGATGAGATTCAAATAATGCTTCTTAATCTTGTAGGTCACTTTTTGCGGGTAGTTTATTAGAGATTATTCGGACTCTTCTAGAACAAACTCGAATGGATGAAATCAGGATTTTAGGATGCAACACTCTTTCTGATTTTATAGATTGTCAGGTATTTGGTTATAATAAACCTTTCTAAATTGTTGAAGTTGATATCACTGTGTGGTTGCCTTCTATGGATGTTGTGTAGTAAGAGATTTACCACCCATTTGACAAAAAAATTCATTTACTAAAATTTTAACTTTCTGGACTCTGGGTGGAAGTTTGATGGTGGTAGTAAAAATAGATACTCCCTAGCTTAAAAATAGCGGTGGCTTGGTGATAATTACATTTTATAGGTCCATGGCCATGTATATTTGTCCAAATCTATTTTTTATTGTGAATTGAATAACTATTTGTGATCCTGATTTATTTATTTATTTATTTTTTTAAATTTAAAATAGACAGATGGTACATACATGTTCAACTTAGAAGGTTTTATTCCTAAGCTATGTCAATTGGCTCAAGAAATGGGGGAAGATGAACGCACTCTATGTCTCCGTTCAGCTGGACTACAAGCTCTATCCTATATGGTACTGCTTCATTCTGTGTGTCACTTGTTACACCTTCTGGAAAATTATTGGTTATACATTCCTGTAACTTGATGACACGTGGATTAAGGACTTCACTATTTTTTATTGATCAAGTACACACCAGAATCTGCACGCCTTAACTATTCTTTTACTGAATATGAACTCACTGAAGAGAAGTAGAATGCAAATGAGAGGTTAAGGATAATTTATGGTCCTCAGAAACTCTGGTGATTACTGATTGTGTTATCAATAGTAGCAGCAATAGTAATAATAATTTTAGTTGTAGAAGGATAGAAGCTTTGATTTTGCATATGATAGTAAGAGCGACATCTAAATAATTTTAAAATTTTGAACTAGTAAGTAGTTACCTTATTCCTACCACGGTATCATTTTCTCAGTTGAGTTTTAGGTTATTTATACCATCTCTTGTTGATACCTCTTTGCGAATATGTTTTCCATGGTTAGGTGCGTTTCATGGGTGAGCAGTCACATCTTTCACTGGATTTGGATGAAGTGAGTACTGTTTTCATACTTAAACTATTATATTCATGTTAAGTTATACAAGAAAGGGATCATTTATATTGCTGTTTAGTTTGTCATTTATGTTCTTGTTTTTCCAAACTTCGAACCAAAACTTGTGCATCAATTTTTGAAGTCAATTTCTACTTGTAGCAACAGACAATTTATCTTTCCAATTCTAATTATTTTCTTTTCTTTCTTGTTCGGACTTTTGGTTGGTGGGATCTGACATAGATCATGCTAGTGACTTTGGAGAATTACATGGGTTTTCAATCTAACTCCAATCTCCCCAAAGAACATAAACTGAGTTCAATGTCCCTGGACCAGTTAGAACATGAATTTCCCAAAGAGGACTGCTCCTCGACAGATATCTCCAAGAAGGATCATTTGTGGCTGAAACTCGTGGCAGGGGCTGGGATGGACTCTATGTTGTATGTCTCACTTCACTCTTCCTGCCCTCCTTTATTATGAAGCCATAAGTCATCATCATTTGAAACATGTCTTGTATCCTTATCACTTTTACAGGGATACTGCTAAAGATCCAGCATATTGGTCAAAGGCTTGCTTGTATAATATGGTCAAACTGGCAAAGGAAGCTACAACTCTGCGGCGTGTCCTTGAACCTCTTTTTCATTATTTCGATACTCAAAATCAATGGTCATCTGAAAAAGGAGAGGCTACCCGTGTTTTGACGTATTTACAATCTCTTTTAGAAGATTCAGGTACCCTGCAACATTTAGAGACATAATTTTCTAAAATAGGATATTCTCCAATTTCAGTATACTGATTGTCTTTCTTGCAAACCAGGACATAACTCCTATCTTCTGTTGTCTATTTTGGTCAAGCACTTGGATCATAAGAATGTTTCCAAGCAGCCCATCCTTCAGATTAATATTACTAACACCACAACACAACTTGCACAAAATGTGAAGCAGCATGCTTCAGTTGCAATAATTGGTGCAATATCCGACCTTATTAAACACTTAAGAAAGTGCCTACAAAATTTAGCTACAGCTTCCAGTATTGGGAATGACGAGTATAAGTTGAATACTGAACTTCAATCTGCCTTAGAAATATGTATATTGCAACTTTCAAACAAGGTATGCACGCCGCATTATTTGTTTTTCAAACTTTATATACTGCTTCGACTGTAACATTTTGAAAATAACAGGTTGGGGATGTAGGGCCCGTCCTTGATTTGATGGCTGTGGTATTAGAGAATATCTCAACTACGACCATTGTAGCAAGAACAACAATCTATGCCATTTATCAAACTGCAAAGTTAGTTACATCCATCCCTAATGTGTCATATCACAAGAAGGCAAGTATTTTTACTTTGACTTGAAATGGGCCTTTCTATATACTCAGCTCTAGTAAGATAGTATAAACTCTTGTGTTACGTTTTTATCCGTTCCAGGCTTTTCCTGATGCCTTGTTTCATCAATTGCTCCTGGTGATGGCTCATCCTGACCACGAAACACGAATTGGGGCGCACTCTGTCTTTTCCACAGTGCTTTCTCCCCAGTTAGACCATAAAACAATGATGGCTCAGAATGTACCAAATGAGAGCTTCTCCATTCAGCATAAAAGCTTTTCAGGGGAAGATCAGATGAATAGGAAACCTATGGAAGGAAGGGCAGTAGTTGATGTCAGCAGTAGGAAATATAGAGTCCTTCCATACCGTGTTTACAGCTTCTCTGGTGCTCTAAATCATGGGAATGATGTATACGTTTTCTTTTTTAGTCCATGTCATATTAATTTAACTTATCTTTTCATATAACATTTATTGATTTCAGTTGTATTATTAATATTATTAAGTTGCTCAGTCTGTTTAATTTTTTTCCATATAATGTGGACTTTTCTTTTTGCTGTAATATTACTCAAATATTGAATGAATACTCTTTCAGGAGCTAAGTTCCTTTCGGTTAAGCAGCCACCAAGTAAGTCTCTTGCTTTCTTCAATCTGGGTTCAGGCAACATCAATGGACAATGGCCTGGAAAATTTTGAGGCTATGGCTCACACTTTTAGCATTGCTTTATTGTTCACTCGTTCGAAGGTGAGATTGGTATAACACAAACACATGGGTTTTTTAAAATTCTAATCAGTAAAGACAATAAATAATGCTGTTCATTTTTAATAGTTGCTAATTATACATTCTTAATTATCTGCTTACATTATTAATTACTTTAGATTGCACGACCCCTTATCTCTCTAACCGTCATGTTCCTCCTCCCAACCCACCTTATCACTCCATGTCAATTTACACTTATAAATGTACTATCATTTCTTACTCTTATGCGTGTTGATATAAAGCAGCATAGTTCCTATTCTTTATGAGTGCCAGTTCGACATATTATGGTTTTAATTCAGACAATTTAAGTCTACTTTGTTGAACTTAAACTTAATCAGGCAACTAGGTCATTCTTGTATCAGAAGAACCACTATAAATGAGTATTTCAATTTGGTATGAAATTGTCACTAGTGTTTAGTGCTGCATAGTATTCTAACTGCTTTAACCTTTCAAGAATGAATAATGTTAGTGCACAGGATGCATAGTTTAAACCACCTGGTTCTGTTACTTGACTTATGAGATTCAAATGTGATGGTTTTCTCTCAATTCTCCTAACAGTTTTCTTTAAAAAAAATAACCTTATTTTCATATTTTTCTTTTATCACTCCTGATAACCTGTCCAAGTCCATGATGGTTTAAATTGCTTTAAACAGACATCCAGTTACATGGCTTTAGTAAGATGTTTCCAACTGGCATTCTCCCTCATGAGCATCTCATTGGACCAAGAAGGTAAGTTGAACATATAAGTGATCTTTTATCTTATCATCTTGATGTGTTTCCTTTCTTGTCCACTTTTTTTCTAAATCAACTTGAATTGGAATAGTTATCAAACACCTATTTTAAGGTGTAATATTGAGTAAGCCCCAACCACTCCCTGCATCCAATCTTCTGCGTCCTAGGAGCCTCATAAGCACCTCTTGACATTTTTGAGCAATTGCAAATTTTTATACATGCTACATTTTATAATTTATTTCAATGTTAACCTATTAGTTTCTGAGCAATACTGTAAATCTTCTGCTTGCGTAACAAATTATTGTAGAATGTGTGGTTCTAAGTTCTAACCAAATATAACCAACTTTCTACTTTCCAACTGGCCTAGTTAAAAACCTTTTGGGAAATTTGTTGACTTTGTTTTACTTTAGAAAACAAGTACAAATCCACATTATTGATTTACAAATTTCATGGTTTGTTATTGTAAAATGGTGTATGTACTTCTATGCATGCTATAATTTTTTCCATTATGTTGTGAAGTTGTTGGATTAACACTTTTCTGATGCCAAGTTTCTGACATGTTCATTCTCTGCATGCTTGTTAAAGGAGGTTTGCAGCCATCTCGCAGGAGGTCTCTTTTTACCTTGGCATCGTACATGCTTATATTCTCTGCCAGGACAGGCAATTTCCCTGAGCTAATTCCAATAGTTAAAGCATCCCTGATACATTCAACTGTTAGTTTCTTCCCCTAACCTCTTTCAATCCCCATTTCATGCCCTTGCTATTGAGCTTCCTTTTCAAGATTGATTTGCATTACCTACTGTCTCTGTCTGTTTGCCTTTTTTTTTTCTTCATAATTTTAAATTTTAATTAGGTAAATTAATCAGTGTTAAAAACCCACAGGTAGATCCTTTTCTTGAGTTGGTCGATGATGTCAGGCTGCAGGCTGTTAATATAGAATCAGAGAAGATAATCTATGGATCTCAAGAAGATGAGGTTGCTGCTATTGAGTCACTTTCGGCCGTAGAATTGGATGATCAGCAGTTGAAAGAAAATGTAATCTCGTACTTCCTGACTAAATATTCAAAACTACCGGAGGTAATTATATGACCCTACTCTTGGTTAATGTATAAAATAACATCTAGCTTTAAGCTTCTTACCATAAATTACGAGGGTGCCACGCCACTGCCTTAGCAAAGAACAAGATAGCTAGACAAGCCATCAGTAATTTACTGTGGAATACATTGTTTTTATCTCAAACTAAAAAGCTTATTCACCAGGTTTACATGGGCTGACAAATAATGCTGTGATATGCTGTTCATTAATAATTGAATCTATTTTAATTTAAACAGCTACTTGGGTTTCTTTTGGTTTAAGTTTCTACATCAGAATTTGTACCCTGTATCTCTACTGCACATGCACATGATTATCCTGGAAACTATGGATTGAACCGTTCATTTTGTTGTGGAGGCATAGTTGTTTGTGGATAAATGTGAGTAGTAATTGTAAATAACATGTTCTTTTTCTATTATAAATCATCCAGGATGAGTTGTCAAGCATAAAGAAACAACTTACACAGGGGTTTTCTCCCGATGATGCATATCCATCTGGACCTCCATTATTTGTTGAGACACCAAGTACATGTTCTCCACTTGCTCAGATTGAGTTTCCAGATTTTGACGAGGTTAAATTCTTCATAATTGTATCTGCATTTATGCGGCTTTGAAAAATATGTTTCACTATATCTATGATGAATTGTTTCTAGATTGTGGCTTCGGTAGCTTTGATAGATGAAGAGACTGGGCCTGAACCAAGTGGAAGTCAGACAGACTGCAAATCACCACTATCTTTCAATAACCTTACCATTTTAAGTGTTAATCAACTCTTAGAATCGGTAAAGTTTGCTATCCTTCTCTTTTTATTATTCTCAGTTCTAGATGGTTGACCGTGATTGCATTTTAAAATCAAACTTTTCGTGTTTCTGCTCGAGTGGTGCCAGTTTCTTCTTTAGTTAAAGACTCCATGAGAATTATTGTATTGACAGGTTTTGGAAACCGCGCGACAAGTCGCTAGTTTCCCTATTTCTGCAAATCCTGTACCATATGACCAAATGAAGAACCAGTGTCAGGCCCTTGTATCAGGGAAACAACAGAAAATGTCAGTTCTTCACAGTTTTAAGCACCAACAGGAGACTAGAACATTAATTCTTTCTAGTGCAAATGAAACAGAACTCACCTCTCTACCAATTAAGGCTAGTTTTTTTTACCATAGCTCTTGTTTAATAAACTTTAGGCATGGAGTTCGGTTATTTGTTTACTAACACATTTTATCGCATTTGTTTGCCTGTGTCATTGTGTAGACACTGGATTATTCAGAAGGTGATCTGGAGTTAGTGAGCCAGGAGCAGTTACAGGCGCTGTATCCAGTACACCCGTGTTCGTATGACTATAGACAACATCATTCTTTGAGACTACCACCGGCTAGCCCCTATGATAAATTCTTGAAAGCTGCTGGATGCTAATGATAATACTAGATTTACACAATTGATGTGTATGTAACTATTTATGAAGGTAGAGATGAATCTCCACCTCCCCTCGTTTTTTCTTGTTGTGTTTCGATGGTTGTTTCATCACCATGCGGTAGGTCTTTTTTTCTTTATGTTCATTGCGTAGTGGTAAAACGGTTGTATCTTTAGCTGATGTGAGGTGCAGATTCTCCTTTTGGGGTGTTTGGAATTTGGATGTACAATTTAGTTAGGTTTTTATTCTATAAACGTTTATTGCATAATTTATTGAGAATTTCTTATTGCACCATAGGTGTTTCTAATGTACCATTTGAATTTTTACATATATTTTCTATTTCAGAGATATATTTTTGGACGCACCCTAACACACACTCAACAAAGACCATATTGAGTTACACTCTTTCTTTTGGTTTAATTTATTTTAGAGATGCATCTCCGGAATAATTCCGTAGTTATATCTTCGGATTCACGCCAAAAACAGATTCCAAATGAAATTGACATTCATAACATAAAATGATCATTACAATGATGATTTCAACATAAAATTCAATATTACATTTCAAAATAAAATTCACTAGTTGAAGACGCATAAAGAATCTTGGATAAGTTGATATTATACAAGTGTATGATTATCTTCTCCTTTACCGAGTAAATTCGAAACAGCTCGGTAACCACAATTACAGTCTCCCACAACATTGACGACCTGCTCGATACATTTGTGCATAAAAACTGGCATCTCGTTAATTAATAGAATCTTCGGTGGAAGCGACGTCGAATATGGTTTACTAAAGTGTACTCCTTTCACAACACTTTTTTTGAGATTTTGGAGTCAGTGAGTCAGGAAAAACTTTGTCAACATGTTCAAAATATGAAAGAGTTCGTGTAGTCGAGTTGTCATTTGGTGTATGCTTCATTTTCTTTGGAGCACCTTTTATTTTTACCGGTTGAGAAGGCGGTTTCATGTTGGTGGTTTCAGGATAGGAAATCTTCCTCAATTGTTATTTGATGTGGAGCTTCATGTTGTCATCGACCTTCAAAAATCTTTCTTGTATCACTTTCCATTCAGTCAAAATAGAGATATTCGATTTCCCGTCATCCATGCATCCATCATAATCAAACCTAAGTTTCTTTCAATGAGAGCAAACCTCGTTCATTCTTATTGGTTCATCAAGTTTCACCTTTTTAGCAATAGTACAAGCCCATGGGAGACCATATATTTTCACAATAGTGCACCCACACTTTACGCTATCAGAACCTACATTATCAGCTCGTTTAGCCTCGTGAAAAATATAGTTCAAACCCTCCCGAAAAATGTTATCAACCATTTGAGAATAGAAAGTGTTGTCTTTAAATCTGTTTTCCAAAATCGTGATGCTCCGACCAAATGTTGTTTGTATCTCATTATGCTGGTTTTGAGTCATGTGGTTCACGGACTCTCAGTCTCTACACAAATCCCCTTACTATTTCTCAACCAAACTTTCAAAGTAGCATGAGCTGACTCAACTCTGTTAGTAGTTATATTTTCAAGGTGTCTAACATTATCAATCCATACACAAACTATCTTCTCCTTCACCTGATCAAGAATTGTACTTTCAACATATTTCAACAAATCTGGATACTTTTCACACACTTTTTGGAAATGAATAACGAAATCGGCATATAGTTCTTTTGTGGAAGAATTTATTATACGATTCCATGCATCCATAATTTTTTTCCACAATCACACGACCTTCACCAATTTTCCACCTTCGAATTCTATTTGTTTCGTCCCTACCACAAGTTTAACACGACTTGTCACATTCTTTGTTATATGATACTTACAAAGTAATTCATAAGAAGAAATAAATACCTTTGCAACGAATTCATCAATACGGTATCGCGGTCGGTAACAATCACTTTAGGCATCTCACTTTGGACTTTTAAAAGTGACTGACACACCTTTAATGCCCAAGTAAAATTGTCCTCTTTTTCACACTTAAGAAATACAAAACCAACTGAATATGTTTTCTCAGTTGAGGTAACACCAACCATCTCAAATAATGGAAGTCTATACTTGTTAGTATTATAGGTTGAATCAAGTATCAACACCGTAGGAAACGTGTTGAACAACTTTATGGAATCGGGATAAGTCCAGAAAATATCTCTAATCGTAACTCCATCATCACACGTTCGGTACTTGAACACATAACCGTTATCATCCAACAGTTTCAAGAGTTGTTGCTGAAGGTGAGATAATACTTAGAAGGGGGTTGAATAAGTATGAAAGATTAAAACTTAGAAATAAAAACACAATTATTTTTATCCTGGTTCGTTGAACTCAACTACTCCAGTCCACCCTTCCTAGAGTGATTTGCCTTTCTCAACAAGGACTTAATCCACTATTTAATCAAACAGATTACAATAGTAACACCTAAGAACAATTGTTCTTAGTCTTCTCAAGAGCTACTAATTCCAACTGAATCCTCTTAAGGAAAACCTTTACAATCAATGTAAATCAAATACAAGAATATGAATGCTTCTAAAAAGCTTTTATCACAGCAGTGATTTTTCTCTTAAGATTAAGTACAAATAATTCTAAGAATGAATATGAAAGAATGAGAGCTTTGAATATTATGATTTCTTTTCAGCAAAATGTCTAACTGAAGAATTTGGAGGAGTCTTCCTTTTATAGGCAGCTGATCCAAGGAAGCTGAGCGTTGAGAAGAGTGTCCCAAAAAGGTCTGAGCCTTTTTGTCTTCACATCAAGTGACCTTTCCTAGAAGTAGAAAGCACAGAAAAATCCTTTTTGTCTGTGTTCTTGTGTCTAGCACCAATGAGGAAAGAGACGTTTGATTTACTCCAACGGATATATTCTTTGAATATTTCTTCTTCAGTTTTCAGCAAGTTCATCAGAATCTGAATGAGTCAGAATCTTCTAATGATGTTCAAAACTTTGTTGTATCAGAGTCTTCTGCAGCATGTGTGCTTTCAGCGTGTTGATCATCAGAGCATATTTGACACAGAACTTCAGTACTTGGCAGCTTTAGTACTTTCAGAAACTTCTGTAGAGACTATGCTTTGAGAAACTCTTCATACAATATTCTTCTTAGCTTCAGATGCTTCTGACTAGCTTCAAATTCTTCTGCTTCAGAATCTTCTGGAGCTTCTTGCTTCAGATCCTTCTGGAGACTACACTCAGGATCTTCTGTAAACAGCAATCAGAATCTTCTAATGAATGCATATGGCGCTTCAGAGTCAAGATAACTTCTTGTATACAATTCAGATTTGCTTCTAGAGAGTTAATTTCATTTCAATCTGAAGTAAAACTCTCAAACAAATTTTAGAGTATATAATTCTTAAATACAAAATTTCCTAACAGTTATCATCAAAACAAAGAGATATTATTAAGAACCAATCTGTGTTCTAACAATCTCCCCCTTTTTGATGATGACAAAAAGTATCAGAAATTTTGTTTAACTGAACATATTAGAATTATAACTCCCCCTGAGATGATGAATCTCCCCCTGAGTTAAATACAAATAAGGAATAGAAACTTCCCTTCGATCTTGAGTAATATTCAGAGTTAGATCTTGTTTGTTCTTATAACATTTGAAGGTCAGAATGTCTTGCAGATTTAAGATTCAGAGTTTGATAATAGACAAATGATCTGAGAGACTCAGAGTTTCTTTTATAGAATGTACTTATCAAATGTTCTGAAATAGTCAAATTAAATGTTAAATAGAATAGATATGTCTGAAGTTTCATTCTGGTGAAGTTATATTAAACAGTTCAGATCTATATTTTCTCCCCCTTTTTTGTCATAAGCAAAAAGCAAAAACTTTAAAAGGACAAATAAAAGGAAACAGTAAATCAGATAACATAATGGAGAAAACTTTGATTCATTCCAAAAGATCAGATCAAGAGTACATAGGCAAACATCAGAAGATATAGTAATAAAGTACAGATGCAAACAACAGATGCAAAAACATTAGAATGAGAAAAAAAATCTCTAAGAGTGTTTGGACAAAAGCATCTTCAATAGATCTGTATTCTCAGAGGATGATTGCTCTTGCTTGGACATCCACTTAGTCATAGTTTCATTCTTTTCATCTTGCTTTGACATCCATTCTGTCATATCCTCAGACTTCTTATCCTGCTTAGCCATCCAGGATTTGATCTCTGACTGTCCAGCTTCCAGAGCAGCAATCTTATCTTCAAAATCTGGATGTTCTTTCTTTATCTCAGATGAAGAATTATGATGAGGTTCTGTAGCCTGAACAGAGTCAATTTCCATTGGTTCTGTAGATTCTGGAGCATTGGAATTAGAAGAAAGGTCTACCAGAGTCATAGCCAATGCATTATCAGTAGATTCTGTTGATGGTGGAGGAGCATCTAAATGAAGCAGAGGTTCAGATTTGTTGATAGTCCAGAATAGAGTCCTTGCAGCCTCAGCAAATCTGAGCTGTGCATCATCAGAACAGACGTTCTTCAGATTTGAAGCTACAGAGTTGAATTTGTTGATGAATCCATTCCAGATGATGTCAGATTCTTTGGCATCCATTGTTGCTGAGCATTTCTTCTGAACAGTACCTAAATACATCTGTATTTCTTGCAAAAATGTTTGAAATAAATGATCAACATTAAGTCTGGACTTTGGACGTAACAAGGTTACCAGAGTTACAGGTTTAGGTTGGGGAGTTGGTGGAAAAAGTGATTGTTGGATGGAGATCAGAGGAGGAGAATAATATGGAATGAAGGGTATCTCAGGAGCTTTCTCTTTTGATCTGAGCAAAGCATTTAGCAAATGAGGTTTTGCTCTTCTGTGAGGGGTAACTACATCAAAAGGTGCATTGGAGTAGGGTTTGAAAGCAGATTTTGGTGGTTCAACAGATGCAACAGTGTTATCAGATGCAATTTGCAGAGCTGAAACAACAGCTTTATCATATTTTTCAGAATAAGAGATGGTTGTTAAAGATCCTACATCTGACATAGATTTTAAGTAATCAAGAATCACAGAT